TAAAGATTGTAAAAACTAACGGAAGAAAGAACAATGTTTACTATCAACTATATCTGGAATTTGTTCGAGTGTGATGTCAAAGTAAAGAGACAAATTGAAACAATTTGGATCCAGGATTCAAAGCGCTTTTGTTACCCATTCTTATTGCCTTACACAATCTTTAGCCAATATTACTTCTTCGATAAAATTTGTTTGCCTCAATGTCCACTCAAACTTTTATTCTGTCTCCATGATTGTGAGAAATATTTTGTAATCAAGAACTTTGGCATCAAAAGTCTACACATGATAGATGAAACTGTAATCTTATGCTGAAGAGTGTGAGTACCGTTTCAATCCATTTAAAAATTCTTTCGAAGGAAAAGGTTCTTTTCCTCTAATCCATATTACCAGTAATTTTAAGTTTCACACAAAACCACCAATAATACTACGAGTAACTTATCAGGATCGTGGAGAATTTCACTTTTAAACCCTTGGTTGACCTTTTATTCATATCTTTATTTATCATACCCGCACTTTCTAAACAAAGATCGGTTATACAGTTCTTGTCCCAGTCCGTCTGTCTGTTGCACTATCTTCCTCCCCACACTCCTCTAACATTTTAGCCATTTTAGCAGAACCCAATTCATCTTTTGGAAGAGGATTGGTGGCGCCATGTAGATATACAATTAGGTTTCAGAATTTTCATTCTCATCTTTGGGGCCGTTGGGAGTTGAAAAACGACATATTTCTACAAAAACTTGGTTTCCAGCACATCTTTTACATTAATGCAGAAGCCAACTCATCTTTTGGAACATAATTAGTGGTGTCTTGTAGACGTTCAATAATATTTTGGAATTTCTAATCTCATATGTTTTGCCAATAAGGGCCAAAATAACGTTTTTCTACAAATACCTTGTTCTCAGAACTCCTTTCACATTTTCACATTTCACATTAAGCACTAGCATTATCATAATTAGAAAATATGTTGTGTTTGTAGATATGCAATAAGGTTTTTGAGTTTTCATTTTCATCCTGTAGACAAATTAGGGGACGAAAATTTAAGTCGCCCTATATTTTTATTTTTTTGATTTAATTTTTTTTAATACAAAAACGTTCTTTCCAAACTCCTTTTTAAACAGAATATATGGTTCGTTTAAATCTTTGATTTTAGAGTGGTCTCGAATCTATTAACATTATGAAATGCCCACTGGCCACATGCTCACCTGAGAATTTTATGCTCAGTTTGATACGTGTGTATTTATGTAAAAAAGAAATATGACAATAACAAACATTATCCTTCTCAAAAGTCCATTTAAACAATACAAATTATGAGCAGAGCTAGCACGGACCTCTAGAAACAGAAGATGAATCAGATGTGATGGAGAGTAAGTATCAATTGTCGACCGGTCACACACGCCGTGTACTCCTTGTCATGATCGGGTAAACACATAAACAGGGTAGTTCAGTGTCAAAACAGTGGCCGAATAATTTGCATGAAAGACACCAGTCAATATTCGACTTGACGATATATTGCACTTGCAAACAAGGTCATTCTATCGACTATAGAATTTTGCGAAATTTTGACTTTAAACGAGATTATTGATTTTTTTTTTTTGTATCATCAACTTATTGTCAATAGCCTGCCTCGTTTTAGAAATTGTTCATACGTAAACCATACTCTTGTATATCGAATCAACAGTGTGGGAGACATAAACTCCATTTGCATATGATAATGGTATATTTGCTACATAATGTAAATCAAATAGGGTACCAATTTTGATGCAGTTGACGATAGAAAAGTTGACGTCATCACGTTTATCATGAAGTCTAGTTGTCAGTTTGCCATTAATTTCTTTTTCTAGTGAAACATTCAAATATAAAATATAAGTGTCAGACTATGTGGTGTCTTTATTTCGAGTTCACTGGGATTTATGGAATCAACGTAGCAGTGAAACTGAATATTGTTAATTGATAAAAGTCATCGATATATCTAAATATTGAATTGGAGGCCACAGCAAGAGATATCTTTTTTTAATACAGAAGTTTTTGAATAAATTCTGTTTCATATGAATACAAAAACAAGTCTGCCAATAACGGGGGATAAATGCATGTTGTATCAATGGAAATTCCAAAAGATTGTTGGAGGACATGGTCTCCGTAAACTATATAGATATTATCAATGAGAAACTCGGGTATTTTTTTTTATATCAACCTCAGATTACTTAAGTAAAGAATCAGACTATTTTTACAAAATAAGTTTGCAGATGACCATTGAAAATTTTATGAGTTCTATCTTTATTGAAGAAACAGTTGTCTATGATGTCAAAAAGTCTGGTCTTTAATTTTATCGTGGGGAATGAATGTATAAATTGTTGAAAGTCGTATGTTTTCTTTTTACAGAATAACTTTTGTGGTTTTCCCTAGTTACCCGGGTACGAAGGATAGTGCACTTACACAGTATACTTATGTGCGGAAATAGATTTATACATTTGAAGCAGATTTAGAATAATATTCTTTTCTGGAAAAGTATTCAAAAAATATTTACTGGAAACGCAAGAACCTTATTTTGCCATAATTACTCGAGGCAGTTTGCTTGCGAGAATTTCATTCTCGTGCATAATTGTATTATTAAAAATTATGTAAAACAATAACCAGAAATCGTGAAAATTTTGTCTTGTTTATAATTGAATATTAACATCTCGCGAAAATAAAGTGTAGCTGAAATTTTGTGATCTACAATACTTTAAATTTCCGTATTGAATAAATGGAATTAATAAAGATTTCGCTGCTTTTTTGTATTGGCCATATCAATATAGTTGGAGGAATTCTTGTCTTGTTGTAAAGCTTGTTTTTAGCATCTTGAAAATAGGATCCAATCATTTATAACTGTACTAATTTTTACTATATCTACAATAAAAATGATGTTATGTTCTTTGATCATGACTATGGCTACTGTGTTTACTCATTTTGCCGATGAAAGTAAAGATCAGGAGCTTGACGTTTTCTTTTAAACAGAAGTATACTACTTGATATAATTGTTACAGTATATTCTAACTGCATTAACATTTGTCATTTTCCAGAAGACGACATTTATCTGGTGATTTAGAGGTACTTGAGATGGTAAAAATAGTTCACTGATTTCATATTTTTTCTAAACAATTTTAAAAATTGGATAAAAATCCAAAATGTTTTACAATGTATCAAAATTTAAAATTGTTTTAATGCTTTTCAACATTAGAAATCAATTTGACTGCATAGTTTGATCCTCCTTTTTTCTCCAAATATCTATCTATCTATCTATCTATCTATCTATCTATATATATATATATATATATATATATATATATATATATATATATATATATATATATATATATATATATATATACGAGGGTTGTCCGGTAAAATCGTGGACAAAGCGCTTTTAACGAAAAATAATGGGCGCACTCAGCTGAAATTTTCAGCGAATGTTTATCTATCATATTTAAGTGCATCTTAATTATTTTGGTAAAATATAGACACAAAATAAAGATTTTATTATGCTTGAATGTGCACAGGGTTCGGTCCTACGGCGCACGATAAAAAAAACAGGGTTTCATTAGAGAATGCATGAGTATTATTTTGAAATAAAAGTATTAAATAGATAAGATTGGGGTAAAAATTATTCTGTTTTTAATCCGCTATATATTATGTCGTCTTTTCGAAAATTTCAGGGCATTTGCTGAATTTTTGGCAGTTTCCCGAGCATTTGAAATGGGAAAGTGGTAAACAAAACACGCGAAAAATGACGACGTTTGATGACGTTACGGCGCACCGGAGAGCAATTCAGTTTGATTTAAATGTAGTAATGACGCCTCAAGAGACTTTAAATGACTACAGAAGAAAAAAATATAAATATCAATAGATCTTTAGTATCAAAGTGAAATGGGAGTTTTCTAAGCAAAATCTTTTCGATCGAGCTCGAGTCCCCGGGTAGAATAAAACATACAGACAAAAAGCTACTGGCAATAGCGAAAGATGCTGTCACTGTAAACCGTCGATATAAGATAGCCTATTTAATTGAATGATAGTGAGAGTACTGTCCATTATTTAATAAATCTTAAGACGGCCCCATTGTGAGCGAGATTGGTTCCTCGACTGTTTATGGAGGAATAAAGGGAAACTTAAGTATGTGCATCAATGAAATTTCCGAATTTAAGTTGAGCTTATCCAACTTTTTTTTAGCAAAGAGGAAACGTTGACGCTGCTTTAGACACTTTGACGTTATCATCCGTGCGCCGTAAGGCGATACCACACATAACATAAAATCTCATAATTTGTTTCTTTATGCATATATCTATTTAAAATTTGCTATGTATATTCATGAAAAATGTACTAAAGAGTGGTAAAAATTTTAGAACGCAGTGATGGTTATTTTTCATTCTAGACAACTTGTCCACGATTTTACCGGACAACCCTCGTATATATATATATAAGGCTTCTGATACTTTGGTTGATAAAGTATAATAAAAAGAAAATACAAAGGAAGTATTCAAAAGAAAAACAATTCGTAAACATTAATTTTTTCATGTTATATAAGACTTCAATATTCATTTTTATTCATTCTAACAAAACGGTGAAGGCATGAAAGACACCTCAAGTACTAAATTAAAAGGCAAATATTTCAGTTTCAAACAATTTGTTGAAACTCATCACCTATTAAGGTAAATTTTTATGAATTCACTTTAATTACATGATAACTATTTGTAAGGATTGAGAGGAACAGAAACTTGAAAATAAAAGTTGGCGCATATCAAGACTACTGATTGGGTAAGTGACTGTTTTATATCCGAAGTATCCATCAGTGACAAGATATGGCAATTATCCTATAATTTCAATTTATAATTAGAATTTTTTAAAATTGAATCACCTAAAATATGAAACAAAGAAAAGCAATGAATTATGAGGTTTAATAAATAATAACAAAATTTACAATAATTTGTGAAATGTTAGTATGTATAGGAATAATTATAGCCAATTTATTATGTATATCACTTAAGAAGAATCCTTGAAATATTCATTAAAAAAAATTAAGATATTAGGGTAGGGATGTTAAGATTAGTATTCATATGTTACGGACATGTCCTAGAATTCAATTGTTCTTGTAGAGATGACGTAGAAGTAATGGACTCCGAGTGTTCACGTGCACGCCTGCGCAGTTCAGCAACACTAGATGTTCTCTGGTCAGAAGAAACAACCCTTGGAGGGCAACCAGGCCGAGAACAGCAACCACAAAACGGTAAACATCCTGCACAAATAGTATTAAATGTAACTATTGGTTAATTTGAAAAAAAATAAATGTGGTAATTTAAATAACATAAACAAAAGAGAAATAAAACGCATGTGCTGTTTAAGAAATGAAGGTTTTTAAAGAAAATATGCCATTTTAGTGAAAATGAAGAAACGTGGTAAATATTTTTACCATAAATTCCCAAGTCATTTAGCATTAACCAAAGTACCCTATACTATTTTGCCTTGGCAATTCAATTCTTGGTAGTTGCTGCTAATTTAATCAGAGTGTGTCAGTACAAACACGTCAAAAATAGAATATTCCTAGTAGTTCTTTACCTTTAAAAGCAGGATGTGGAACTGGAGGGAGGTAATGTCTTGGTGAATTAAGATAGTTCTCCAGATAATTCTTGTAGGCGGACCTTTTAAAAAAAACAACCATTTGTCCTTCAGTTCCACTTATGTCTATCTAAATAAAACTGTAGTTGGGCATCTGATCTTTCTTCCAATATTTGTCAACTTTAGTAAAGAAATGCCAAGTATCAATGAAGGGTCATTGGAGATTACCTTTTGGTATTTAGATTTAAAGCTGAATACATACTTTTTTTCAATTAATTGCTTAAAAGACAAGGGATGATATCTTTTCGCTTTCTATTACAAAACAAGACTACAAGGTAATACTAATTTGCTAAAAAATATTTAATAAGTAAAATCTTGATTGTCTTTTTTAAATCATTTGAGGGACTGTTTGACACTTACCCCTCCATAAATGGTAGCATTGATTGTCTGTTAACAACATTGTTGTTAAGAGCCAGAAGTGTCTGAACGAAAGAGGGTTGTATGAATTGTTGTTGTTTCTGTAATAGCATGCTGTCGTGTGATTGGCTGGCCATGCTCATCAAAAGTGATGATGAAGAACACATATTGTGCATTCCAGAAAATAAACTAGGTAAAGAACTAGGGATTCTGCTAGGTGTTTGGGTGTTATTTGGAGTAGGTATGACGTCATCACTGTCTTCCTCCTTGACATCACTTGCAACAATCACATTGTCACTATCAGCATCTTCTGATTTTTCTTTCATTCTTTGACCTTCCTCCTCATTTTTAGCTGAGTTGGATATTTCTAAATCTGATGACTCGTCTTCTTTTTGAGATGCTTGTTCGTCTGCTTTGTTACAACCTGGTTCTGGCGAGATCCCTTCATTCTCTCCTGAAATCACGTCCAGAAGTTTTGCAGCTTGAGAGTCACTCTCCGAGGTCAGCTCGGTGCTTGTAACGGTCTCAACTTCCAATTCATCCTCAAGTTTTGTTTCTTCACCTTCCGACAACAATTCACCCTCAGCGACATCATTTTGGCTAGATGTCCCCGATTTAGACTGCTGTGTTGTAAACCTCTCGCTCTTTCGCCATTTTGCTCTACGATTTTGAAACCACACCTAAAAAAATATGTAATTATTTTGAATTAGTGCATTTTTACATACACGAATTTTTTGAAGTGATTTTAATGCATGATTGAGCTATATACCTGAACACGAGCTTCTGTAAGATTAATCCTCATTGCCAGGTCTTCCCGCGTAAAAACGTCTGGATAATGAGTTTGTGCAAAGGCTTTTTCTAATTCCTCTAGCTGAAATCAATAAAAATTCAAAATAAAAATAATAGTTACTTTATTGTGAATTAAATTATAAAAAGAATTTATTATAAAAAAGATTATATTTTTATGGAAATAGGTAGGTCGTATACACATATTGTTTTTTATATACCTGCTGAAGAGTAAAGGTAGTTCTGTTTCTTCTCTGTTTCCTTCTTGCAAAATTGTCGTCTTGAAAATCGTTACCCAGGCCATATCCAGCATCTAAAATATACGGAGAAAATAAATTCTCCAGATCCATTTTCTTTGTTGAATATTGCAAATTCTAATACCCACGACCTCCAAGGTCGTGGGTATTAGATTGACAGTTTAAAAAATAATTCTACAATAAAATTTAAATATGTAAATGGAAAAGTTCATTTTAATGGTTTTTTCCCTTTAGATATAAGGTCAATTGTTGATTAAATAAAAAAAAAAAAGTACTATTCATATTGACAAAGAACAAAGCAGATAAATACTCTACATAGAGATTAGAGGAAGATACTTTAGGGTTTCATGTCAGCATATTTCCATGTCAAAATGTCAATGAATTTGTCATTAATATCATAACAACGGAAGAATCGTTACTAAACCATGCAAAATCCGATCAATAAGAGACGCCTAATTCAATTAAGATAGATCATGCATGGAAAATTACTACCGATTTTGAGCGGGTGCTAAGCGCATCTTCAATTGTCCAAATTTGTTCTAATTCCCAGTGATCTGGGCAATATTTGTAGTTCTAGAATGATGGACATTAGAAATGATTTGTTGACGGATCGACTATCACAACACAATAGTTTTATCGCCTGTCATAGTCTGATCATCATGCACAAAATCACATACTATTCCATTAAATGGAATTTCGTTTTATATAATAAACCTCTTTAGGGGTTTGACGTGTCTGATGATCTCGGCCTATAAGGTATAATGGCGCGGAATGGGCTTCCTTCTTGTGACACCCTATGCATCAATTTGTGTTAATGACAGGTACAGGTTTATTTAGATTTAATATTCAGAAAGCTTTAATAACATTTAGTCCCCATCATTACCTTAATTGTCTTCTATGAGGTATTAAATTTCAAAGGTAATCTAATTCAATATTGGCACGGCCAATCATTATACAAAGTGCTGTGGGGATACCATATTACTGGAAGTAAATATTATTAAAGCAGCATCTTATTTCCCCACTTGCGCGCTTTCGCGTGCCAAGAGGAATTAGTCTCACTTGGTCTTCATCGCTCGAGGCCACTAAGTTGGGAGAAATACACACTTAGTGATTATTTTTCTGATTGGATAAAGTAGAATCGTAAACGCCGTATTTTGGGGTAAAATCGTATAATAGATAAATGACATTAGCGTCGTGTACAAATCTCTAATTTAAGACATTATCGGACAGACAAAGTGAATTTTAGTTGACAGGTTTCTGACCGTAAGCAACCGCATACGCCAACCCGAGCCCATCGCAAATGCGGATCATTGATTTTACACCGAAAATTTAATAAATAAGAAAGAAAAATACTAAAAGACATGCGGATAATGATTTTCTAAACTACATAGGAATCTTTTCCTTAGGGTGTGATAATTATCTAAACTTTCAGCATTGAAGGAATTCTCCGAAGAATTAGCAAGCTTAGTTTTTTTTTTGCGTTTCCTCAGTTTTCGTTATTTTCTTGGAGTGGTGAAAGCTAATATTTGTGAATTTTATTTCGAACAATTTAAGTGACTACCTGGTGATGAGAGTACATTGTTAAATTTCTATAGTAGCATATCTTATGTAATGCCATGCCTTTTCCTCCCAAAGGCAAATATGAGTAATTATTACTATACGTATTGCTAATATAAGCAGTTATCATTCACGGGTTTAAAGTGGAATTTCTAAGAATTGACAACAAATATTGGTATCTAAAACAAAGCATCAAATAATCTTTAAATATTCGAAGTCGAAGTACTACGTGACTTTTTGCATTAAATGCTCGATTGATCCACAATCTTACTCGCTATCTTACTTACACTTAACCCATGTCTTCTAATCTTATAATTCTACAACATCATGAAATCACGTCTTCACATTGCGACATGCAAATCTTATTTTGAATCATTTGTCGTCTGTTCTGTGGCAGAATGACACGAAATGATCTTCTGTTTTTGCTGCTGTGTACACTTGATTTGAAAAACGAGCAAAACTTTGTAACGTATACTGAAATATTTGAAATATTTTTTTTTTATATACGAGGGTTGTCCGGTAAAATCGTGGACAAGTCTAGCGTGAAAAGTAATCATCACTGCGTTCTAAAATTTTTATTACTCTTTAGTACATTTTTCATCAATATACATTGCAATTTTCACGTAGATATATGCTCAAAAAAACAAAATATGAGATTTTATGTTATGTGTGGTATTGCCTTACAGCGCACGAATGATAACGTCCAAGTGTCTAAACCAGCATCGTTTCCTCTTTGCTAAAAAATGTTGCATAAGCCCCACTTAAATTCTGGAGATTCACTAATGCACATACTTGAGTTTCCCTTTATTCCTCCATAAACAGTAGAGGAACCAATTTCGCAAGCACATGGGACCTTCTGAGGATTTATTAGTTAGGTATGGACAGTACTCTCACTATCATTCAACTAAATAGGCTATCTTCTATCGACGGTCTACAGTGACAGCGTCTTTTGCTATTGCCAGTAGCTGTTTGTCCGTATGTTTTGTTCTACCCGGGAACTCGATCAAAAAGCTTCCTCTAAGAAAACTCCCATTTCACTTGTATACTAAAGATCTAGTGCTATTTTATATTTTTTTCTTCAGTTGTTTTTAAAGACTCTTAGGGCGTCATTACTACATCTAAATCAAACTGAACTGCTCTCCGGTGCGCCGTAACGTCATCAAACGTCGGCATTTTTCGTGTGTTGTGATTACCACTTTCCCATTTCAAATGCTCAGGAGACTGCCACACATTAAGCATATGCCTTGAAATTTTCCAAAAGACGACATAATAGATAGTGGATTAAAAATAGGATAATTTTTAATCCAGCCTTATCTATTTAATACTTTTATTTCGAAATCAAACTCGTGTACTTTCTAATGAAACCCTCAGCTGGTTTTTTGATCGTGCGCCGTACGTTCGTACCCTGTGCCCATTCAAGCATAATAAAATCTTTATTTTTGTCTATTTTTTATCAAAAATAAAAAATGAAGATACACTTAAATATGATAAATAAACATTTGCCGAAAAGCTCAGCTGAGTGCGCCCATCATTTTTCAATTAAAACGCTTTATCCACGATTTTACCGGACAACACTCGTACATGTATCATAGCACTTTATTCACAGAACAGGAAACATATTCAATTTACATATTTGGCTGCATAGTTTGAATGTTTAGGAACCATCATCTTTTCTTAAATAGTTTGTCATTAAAAAGAAGTGTTATAAAACAAACAATGCAAACAAAACATTTTTTTTTTACTTCTGTATATCTTTTGAATCTTATCCAATACTGTTTTCATTTGAAGGCACAGATCTTCATTATCCCTTGAATGAAAATGTTTTAATTTCAAATGCATTTAATCACGTACTAAAGGTTTTTGCTGTTTTTTCACTTTGTTGAGTCAAACAACTTTACGAGTTTCGATGTTTGATAATGATACGGTCCGCAGTACGAACTAGTTTACCTATATTTTGACAATGGGGTTTATATTAAAAATATGGTTAGTTTGATTAAGTTGAATTACTTTCACGATCGAGAAAATTCCATTTCATTTTGACGCCTATATCGAAATATCAAATATCATATATTACAAGAGTATATTGTAAACAAAGTTTCTTGATAGCTGATATCGAGAGACCTCGAATGGCCGGATTAAACGCCCTTCCTTAAACAATCTGAACGACCACGCTTCTGTATTGCACAAAACTGGTTTAAATTCTATTCGTTACCAAATTTTTTCCGGTAAACTGTGTCCTATTCGGCTCATGTTCACGAATTCTTTTGGTCCTCGTTCGCAGAGATGCGAGGTCGCCAAACAGCATCTTAAATCAATTTATTTCCATTTTTCCAGTAAAAATTAAGGTTTTTAATTTTTTTATTATCATATTCATTAGAACATGATATAAAAAGAAATTCATGTGTGTGCCAAGTATTTTCCTCTGTCAATTATTGCTCACAAAATTACGAATCAAATCACTTCAACATTGCTTAAATGAAAGCAATGTTACTTTTACGCTTATCATAACTTTTTTAAAAAAATCTTTAGTATAGTACCAATTCTAAGGGGTTTTTTTCTCCGTTTTTCTTTGGGCCATAAAGACTCACAATTATGGCTCTAAAAGCATAATACAGACGATTGGATTTATCTTTACAGATAAAGTACTATGTTAAAAAATTATCATGGATCTATTCTTGTGAAAAAAAAATCTTAACGAAAATATTTGCTACCAACACTATATGTACATGTGTCCGCCACAACTTCTTCCTGGAACAGACAGAATACTTTTGTGGCTCGTGAGATACTAATTACTGATAGATCTAATGAATGTAGGAACTTATAAACCTTACCTCTCTACGTGTAACTTGCACACAAACGGACTAGGTATTGAATAGTCTTTTTAAAAATATTTCCATAAAAAAGTCTACGTGAATAAGTGGAGGGATTTTTAAACTTGGTTGTAGATTTAATACTTATACTAAATCCACATCCCAGATATAGGTTGCTTTAACCCTTACGATCTAAATGTTTTGCTTCTTGCTCCTTGGTGACTGGGATTATATAGGTCAGAACAGTCTAACTTATATTTCAAGCAATTTTTTTCTTGCAACACTATTTTTTAAATAATAAGTTCTATTCTACTTTTGAGAACTTTTATGAATATTTAAAACGTGGTTATTTTTAATGTTTACTTCTTTTATGTAAATCAGAGTTGTACTTTTTTGGAATTTATTTTTAAACTACTTTTTTGGAATTTATTGTTAACAACGGATTTTTAGTTTAGATTCATTTGAAAGTATTTAATATCTTCACTTGTGCATCGTATTATTGCGATTTTTTCTTTAATCCATCCGATCATTTTTCTGCTTAAATCAACACATTTTTTTAATAAAGATTGTTAAAAACCCATTTTCCTTTATTTTGTAGATCTACATAAAATGTATCTGTTAAAATGTTTATAGAACTTTTTTTTAAATGGGTTAAGCACTATTTCAGTGAAGGTATATCCTAGAAATTTAAACAAGAAAACAAATTAACAAGCATAAAAGAAAACAATAAAAAGCAAATAACCAACGAAAAAGATCTAAAATGTCCATCTTTAAAGAAATTTGTTCCAAACGACATGTACAGTATACCAACATTGGTAAAATTAAATGTGGATTTTAATTTTAACCAGTGAGTTTATTCACAGAAATTAAAAATTACCCAAGACTTATCTGAAACAAGTAACACAACTTACAAGGATGGTGATGGTGCTGATAGGACAAGTCTACACCAAACTGTCTGGCCGCAGCAGGATGGAGGGCCGGAGGACAATGGAAGCAAAACATCACTGGAAAAAAATCGGAACACAAAATTATCACAAAAACGGAAAACAAAATTATCACAAAACAGTAAGTACTATCTCTACAATATCTAAGTAGATTTATAGACGATGAAATAATTTTATGTTAAATGACCATGTGTACGAAGCTCCATCATATTGCAGAACGTCAGACACGAATCTTACCTTGTGTCTTCTTCTTTCACCGACTTAATGATATCATTCAGAGAGCTAATATCAAAAGTGATCCAAAACACCTAAGTCACTGCCTTATCCTTTACAAGTCGGCTTTGCAATGAAAGAAAAAGCCAATCTTGCTCTGTATAATAATTTGTGATATTGGAAATTTGGTCTCGTTTAGACTGAAAACCACTTCCAATAATTCAGTTTTCTGAATGTAATCCTCAATTAATCAAGAAAATTAGACTGCGAAGCCAAACCCACGTTGGAAGGCCTAGCAGAAGACACAATAAGAAAGGATCGTCAGTGACAGCCCATGCTGCTGAGCCGCTCTGTCATTGGTCGGATTACTTAATTCCGGATTTTTACGGAATGGAACGTCCACGGTGACAGTAATACCATAACGGACTCCACGTGGATCATCTAATTTGTAACCGATAAACGCCAATTCAAAAAGTTCCCGGCCATAAAAATCATTTATCGCAGAAAATAATGCCAAAAAATGTCTGTCAGATTCGACATTTGATGTGCGTTGGTCTTAATGCGGAGACATTACACGGCTTTCCATCTGATCGTCCAAGTTTCTTGACGCGGGTCAAAATTGACAATTAATTGTATAATTTGATTTTCCCTTTGTACAACAGATACATGTGTTTGGTTATTCCAAATTGGATTATGGCCTCTTGAATTCATCTTTATTTGAATGATAATTGAAGATCTAGAAATGGTGGTATGGTTTTGCTCTTGAAGTTCACAAGAAACTAATTAAATCAGCCTTTAGAAATTTTCTTTAATTCAGATTAACTCAAAAATTTCTAGCCTTCCAAAAAGTTACTAAGTACTATATACAATTGTATGTTAAATAATTAGACATGAAAGTGAAAGGTTGTTTTAGATAATGATTTCTGATGAAATGCAATACTCTAAGATTCTCGAAAGCAAGTATGATAAATTTACAAATGTGTTTATATATAACCGACTTAAAGAATTATTTTTAATACTTACAATAATAAAGATAGATATTCTGACTTAATCTTTGTAATTTAGATATATGTTGTCTGTTCTCTATTAGACTTAAAAGCCATAACATTATTGGGTTATTTTGCCAATTTGCTATAACCGGATCAGTGAAAACAGAAGAGGATTGCAACAAACCATAAAAGATTTTACAACGGATGATAGAAGTCCTTTCAGCAATTTTAACCAAGCACTTTTAATGCTTTTAAGAATATATAATGAATTTTTGTACAGTTTTTTACTATGAATTCAAATCTTAAAAAAATTAAAGGGAAGAACACCGATAAGTTTATGAATTATTTTTCAAAAAGTAGAAAATACAGCATAACCAGTCTGACAAATGTCAAATATGTTTCATGAGCAAGAATTCTAAAATAAATTGAATTTTCTAATATAAATATTTAACATTTTTTAATCTCATAATGCATCAATGGAGAGGGAGAGGGGGAGGGGATTAACTTATAATGGAAGAGGATTCAAAGTAAATATATATATACAAGTATTCTTTATTAAGATTAGTGTATTGAAACAAAGAAACAACTTGCTTTTACAGCTTTGTAAAACAAACGCAAATTCCTATTCAGAGACAAGGTCTTTTTTCATACTAGTAATGTCTATTAAAATAATTTGATAAGAAAAAGTTCCCCGTAGCCATTTAATTTGGATCCATACAGTAAAATTATTTCGATTGTATTAATCCAATAAGGCTCGTAAAAGCGCCCGGAACCATTGAAATACGAGTGGGATAACGTAACCAGAAGAGAAAAATTCTATCTGCAGATACATCATACACTATCGAAAGCTATACATATATACCTTAATTGTATATGATTAGGAGAAAACACTATTTAAATATAGTTTTTGTCTGGCGTTGATTTGAAGGGGGAAAATCCTCTACTTTTATTTTGATCAGCGGCTTTCTTTTGTTTGCAAAGCTGGTCTCTGTATTTTTTTCACATCACATAATGTGTTAGAATTACAAAGAGAAGATTTTTCTTTCTCTATAATTCACATTGTGGTGTATATGTTATAGTTTTCATTTGCAAAAAAAAATTAATTCGTTCATGTGTTTTGTGAAGAAAAAAATACTTCGTACTTGAATGTTAGATCTAGAAGAAAAGTTAATTTGCTTATGGTTTTTCATTCTTTGTGCAATTTTTTTTTTTTTTTTTTTTTTTTTTTTTTTTTTTTTTTTTTGCTAATTACAAAGATACATCGTCCATCTTAAATATACACGTATATTTGTATTTTACGTTTCCAATTTTTATCTAATACTCGCGGTATTGCTTGTCACCTCCATTAAAAGAATTTCAACTTAATAAAGAGAGAGTTTTATTTATATTTTCTTAAAACAGTAATCAAGAAACAAGAGTATCAGATTGTCAAGCATTAGTTCTTAATATATCCTTTCTTTGGTTATTTTTAAAAAAAATTCCATTTGGAATCACAATATTCGATCAGTACTCATTACTTAATTATTACCTTATACAAGAAAAAATGCAATCATCGGACGCTGTCGCGCACTAAGTGTTTTCCGGATAATACAATAACGCAATTTTCTATACTTTGCTTTTCTATTATTCCACATTCAAAAGCATCAATAGAAATTTGAAGAACTCTCCGTAAGCTAATTCTCTCCTCATTCTATCAGAGCTTCGACTTATAACTTAATCACGCGCCGGGATCTAATAGATTTTCATTTTACTAGAGATATAAACTTCTTTGATGAATAAGAGTGGAGTGGACGTGATGCTTGATCCTTCCTAATTATCCACAGAATAAGACCATAAAGTAGAAGACACTGAAACATAGAAGTAAGCTACAAAAGACACAATCAATCTGCTTAGGGAATTCAAGTCCTCTTGTGTCATAGGCAAATAAGGTTTCATCTATTTAGGAGGATTATTTCTTTTCTGTTTTTTCTGGAGAAAACTGCGGAGGCTTACGACTGTCCGTGCGTGGCAACCGACGGCGGACTTGAACAGTAAATCACTTCCGCTGGGAGCACAATCACAGTAGTCTATGTTCAGTATAGTTTGTTGTTTTCTGTTATTTTTTGTTGGGGGGGGGGGGGGTAGGAATATTCTCATACACCGTCACAGATTACAATGACAGTTACACTGCAGTGAAAATTATATTAAACTAATTTCGTGTCTGATACGTTAAGAAAAACACTTGCTGTGACCTTCAACTCGACATTTAGATATATCGACGACGTATTATCAATTAACAATAGTTACTTCCATTCATATGCCAACTCAATATATACCAGTGAACTTGAAATAAAAGATACCAAAGAGTCTGACACGTCTGTTTCATATTTGAATATTTTACTAGAAAAAGGCATTATTGGTAACCTAACAACAAAGCTTTATGATAAACGCGATGACTTCAACTTTTCAATTGTCAACTTTCCTTATTTATGTAGCAATATACCATTATCACCTGTATATGGGTTGATGTCTCTCAGTTAATCCGATGCGCAAGAGCATGCTCTACGTACGAATAATTTCTAAATTGAGGCAAGCTATTGACAAACAAGTTGATGAAACAAAAATATCAACCGTCTCGTTTAAAGTCATCAATTCGCAAATTCTATGGTCGATACAATGACCTTATCAGCAAATACGATCTATCATGAAGTCGAATGCTGACTGACGTTTTTCATACTAATTGTTAGGCCATTATTTACACACTGAATTGTCTGCGGATTTTCCGTGTTTTCCTGATCATGACAAGGAGCATACGGCGGATTGGACCTGTCGGCAGGGGATTATCACTCCTCCATGGCACCTGATCCCAACTCTGATGTTTTAGAGGTCCGTATTTGCTCCTCTGCTCCTGATTTGTATTTTTTAAATAAACTTTTGAGCTTGAGTACTGTTTGTTATCTCCATATTTCATTTAAGATTTTTTGTTTATGAATCTAAGAAGATTTTCATTTACAATACCAATGCCAGAAACGTGAATTTAAATAAGTAAGTTAATATGAAGGTGGTTTTTTTTTCAATAATCGTCCTTTGCTTTAATTATTTTGTTACACTTTCTACAATATTTCACTTGTAGAACAGAGAATCTTTTAATATCAATTTAAAGCATTTACAAAATTCAGTTATTCTTGAAGTTCTAATTTTTTAACATATCTTTAAAATTTTTCCAATTAAAGTTGTTTAGACATTGTCTTTATATTGAAAAAAAAATTACTAAGTCTTACATTAATCTTCCATAAAGAAGTTTATCCGATCATGACAAGGGACACAGGGCAGGTGTGACCGGTCGACAGGGGATGCTTACTCCTCCATTTCACGCGATCCCACCTCTGTTTTCAGATGTACATGTTGGCTCTGCTCATAATTTATACATTGTATAGTTTAAATGGACCTTTGAGCATGATCACTGTTCGTTATCTTCACATTTCATTTTGAATTAGTGAGAAGTTAGGTACAAGAATAGAAAGGGACATCAACCTGTCAGAAATATCAACACTTCTAAACACACATGTAATATAATAACTTTACTCTGAGATGTTTGTTTAAATCACACAAAGCATACATGTTGGAAGGGAGATGTTAAATGTTACAGGTTTTAAGGGTTATATACTGTAGAACACTAAATTTTCACCAGAAAGTTATTTGGTATTTATAAATGAGACAAAATTTTCATGAATTCTGGTCAAGGTTGTATGTAAGCTTGAGTAATAAAAATATCCACGAGAATGAAATTTTCCCGAGCAGAGGGTCTCGCATAATTACGAAAATAAAGTTCCCGCAAATAAAAGGTCATTTAAAGAAACAATTACAAGTCCTTTGA